TTCAATTTGTTGCTCTCCTGATGGTTCTACATTAGCATCTTGTAGTGATGATAAGTCTATCCGTGTATGGGATGTAAGATCTGGACAACAAGTCTTATCTTCATATGATGGTTATAAAAATATTTTAGCTTAATTTCAACCTTCAATATATAGCAATAATGTTCTTACACAAAGTGGTATTTATATTACACTATTATTTAGTTACTTCAATTGTAACTATTCTTTTAATCTCACAATAGCTTATATTTTAATCATAAGGTGCTCTAATTTTGAAAGGAGAATTGATTAATCAAAAAGGCATTGATTTGAAGGCATTATTTCAATAAAGAGGAAGCTGCATTTTAGATAACTAAATTAGACAACAAATACAATAAAACTGATTTATTATAAAAAACAAAATGCTTTATACATTAAGTTTTTTTTTTCTGAAATTGATTATCTTATGTTTGTTCTTGTCTCTTCTCTTTTTTATATAGCACATTAAAATCCTAGCAAAAAAAAATAATGATGAAAAGAATGGAGTTTCTTCAAAGTGAGTTGAGGTATTTAGACATAAGTTGTAATGATAACAATTATACTTATGTAATCTTTATGAAAAATTTAGGTAAAGACAAATATGGCAAGTTGTTACAGGCAAAGTGTTTAACAAAGAAAATAATGAGGAAATTCTCTTATCCATCTAATATAGTGGTGAAGATGTATAGTTTGTGCATTACATTTCAGTAAGTCATTAATTGAATCATTAATTAAGTAACTTAATAGGATTTAAATTTGTAATAAATAACAAAGAAGAATTGGTTATTTTGTTGAGTTGTATTAGAATCTATAATTCACTCTTACATCCAGCAGTATGATCTTTAAGGAAGGGTAATTGCTTGAGTTTCCATATCTTATTATGACATGATAACCAAGGTGTAAAATAGAGATGCATTTATAGAATTAATCTAATAGAAATATGGAAACAAATGTGAAAAGCATATCAATTATTGTTTCTGCTTTTTTCTATTATGAAATACTCTTTGCAAATAAGTATTGATTGTACATTTCCTCAATGTTTATCCTGTTACATCATTGACAACATGTGTTATTAATTTTCTAATTGTTGAAATTTTTAGCAGCTACCTGATTTTTATACCCAAAATGCATACTAATTATACCTATTTTTTATCATTACCTTATTATATGTTAAACTGTACAGAATTACTAATACTTTATTATTTATTTAATAAGCAAAAAATTTGAGATGGACAAAATTCTTTCGAGGTTTATGAAATATATTAATGTGATTGGCACTTAGTGCATTTAAAAGATAACCTTACACAATTATCTAGTATAATGTTGATTTGATTATCGATCGTCAGCACCAATTTTACACTCATGATGCTCATAAAAATAATTTCTTTTAAGCCACATTTATTTCAGCTTGGTATTTGTTTATATTTTGATTCTTTATTGTATTACATACAATATTTGATATGAAATTCATAGATACTTCCAATTTTCTACAACATCTTAAGCTGTTTGGGTTACTTTACCAGCTTATTGTAGCCGATATCATTATTTGATGCTTTTTGATTGATAGATAGGACTTCGAATACTAAATCTGTATTCTTAATCTTTTGGTATTATCTATACCAATAACTAAAACAGTTGATAATTGTAAATATAAACAAACCTCTATTGAAGGATTAAACCAAAAAAAAAATGAACTAATTTCAAACCTTACTTAATTGATTCAGTCTCATAAAGAAGATATACTTTTAGATACAAAAATTTAATATATGTAATCTAAGGACTCTTTATTTTCAAAAGGGATTGAGAACAAATTTGAGCACTTAAAATAGCATATTTAATTAGACATTTAAGAATCCTTAAATAGTTTACAAGACGAAAATAATATGCAAGTAATTACTTTATTATTATAATAAATTCAAAAATGCACAAAAGGAAATCAAGAATAATTGATAGTAAAGCAAGAATTAGAAGAAATATTAAATTATTCAAGGCAAATTTATTGTTAAAAGGGATTATTTAATCAAAAAATTCAAAAATTTTAAGAGCACCTTGCAAAAATCAATAATATGAAAAATATAATGAAATAAATTCCAGGTCTTTAAAATCCTACTAGCCTTTAATAATGGCTTCAAGATTATTCCGATTAATTTTATCAAGATTTTACTTAAATGAAGAAATTTTGCAAAATTAAAAATTTAGAAAAAAAGCTCCACACTTTATATTTAGACTATGAGTAATTATATTAAGAAAGCAATAAGAAATTTTTAGAATAAAAATATTGATTAGCTTAAAGAATTTGGAAAGGAAATTTAATTAACAATAAAAATGTAAGGTGATGGAAATCAATTTTTCAATAATAAGCTGATAGAAGAATAAAATAAATATGAAAACCAATCAAAAGAGGAATAAATCAAAATTAGAACGAAATTTAAGTACTAACTCAAAAAGATCTACTAAAAGGATAGTATAATTCATCAAGTTACAAAAGAATTAGACCTTAGAATATAAATGTTTAAACCTAAAACACAAATTGTTAAAAGAGGATTTTTGGTGTAAAATATTTTTTGTTTGTAAGAGAAATTTAAGAAAACAATAACAGCATCAAATGAAATAAATTGGATTGCAACACAACTAATCATTTTGGAATACATGCAATGATAAGAGCTATTTACTAATCATTTTAATCTTCGAGTGGATATATATTTGGTGGATATTCTCCTTGTTTATGGCATTAAAGTAAAGGATTTGTTTAAGATGATACATTATCATCTTTTTTATTCTCATGGACTCATAATTAAATCTATCTTTTGAAATAAGATAAAAAATAATATGCTATATGGTGTGGTTAGAGCTATGGACCTTGTTTTGGTTCTAATGATAATGGTTAGCACGATATAGTCTGATTTTCAAAGAGGATATTCTCAATTGGAAAGCGCATATTTATGGGATAAATATGAGGATAAGAGATCATCTCATTTATATGGATAAGAATCTCCGAATCTTACTGAATGTGAAATATTTGAATTACAATTTTCATGAAAATTATATAACTATTTTCATTTTCTTTCCATAAATCAGTTTAAATA